CCATTTCATTCAATCGGTCCCATCCACTTGCCCCAAGCTTAATCCGTATAGCTATCTTGAACAGTAGAGTAGTTGGATATTTCCACCACACTCGAACAGATAGATTACTATACTGACTAGTGAGGTTGATGTCGTCTTCGTGAGTCGATTACGAATGGATCGTTTATGCTTGGTGGTCTAGACGCCTTGTTTTTGAGACGCGTGCACGTATGGTTCACAGTGGGATAGTCCCATGGAGTAAAATAAAGCCAAGAGTTTCTTAACCTCACTTGAAGTGTGCCGTAGTTTCGGTGCTCCTCAGCCCAACAAATGAAATTTCAACTGCACAACTGTTTTTGAATTCGATCCACGACTTAATGACATGTTTTCAATTCCACATAATTTCGGTTTCCTGAATTACCAGGGGAATCGCGGGACTGCGCCTAACTGATGAGCCCCAAGGAGGGAAAAATCGGTCGTGGGCTGTCGAACAATTTTCAGCAACCTAACGAGTAGTGTATTACTTCTATACATGTATGGTGGTATCGCGAATATCGTACCAACTGAAACATGAGGCATATTCAGTCGCTTGAAAACATCATAAACGAGGCATTCAGCTGGGTTTCAGGTGAGTCTCCAGCTAAACCAAATTTGTTTGCAAATGCTTGTATTTCACTAACATATGCACGATCTCCCACAATCAGTAAAGATGAATTCATTCACGATTGAAAAATAACGCTGTGTACTGTCTACTTTCGGTCACGTATGAGAGGGTTGGCAATACGACAGCACCTGGCGGCGGTTCTTGCGTTCATTTGCAGATAGCAAACGTTCCGGATGCGTTGCAGAAGTCTTCAGAAGATCGTCGTTATCCGCGATTTCATTAATCGCTCGCTCGGTTGTTTTGTCTCACTACCAATGAACTCTACAACCGGTATACTTCGGTGTCCGGAGAATAAAAGGTTGATCCCAGACAGATCGCTCCGTTTTGCCAGCACTTTGTTGCCAAATACTATCATTAACAATACATTAGCTATACACGAGTTTCAGACAACTCCATTCTGGAGATAATGGTTTACCCGACTGAGGTGGTGACTCAGCATGTGCCAACTTCGCCTGAATAATAATGAGAGATCCATGTCGAAAATCTACCGATTGTTACCAAACTTTTTTTCGAAAACGATGACTACTCAGTCGGTTCCAAGCGTTTTTCACCTGACTGACTGAGAGATCCGGTTTATGCATAACAGATCACGCACAGCTTGACAACGGAATTTAACCACATTTGTTCAGTGGAATTCGTAGTGCCCTAGTGGATGACTCAACAGCTTGGTGATGAAGCAGTTTCTAAAATTCCTAATTACGGAAGTTCAGTCTTGAATTATGTGAAGAGATAAAAAAAATCAGGCACTCCTCAAACCGATAGGTTGTAAAGACAGATAGACGTCCAGTTTTGTGTAGTTGCCGTTCATTTTCGCGTCAAGGTGGATGAGGGCTGATTCCTGGGTCAAGGGCCGCTTGCAGTCTTTCGATCAACAATTTTTGATGGTCAAAACACATTTTCAGAGGAGTTGAGTAAAAATCACAAGGTTGGAAAAAGGTGGTGAGAGGGAAGATAATAAAAGTTTGATGGGTGATTGTTAACTGTGGACAAGCGAACAGAGTTTAGGCGTGCTAGATCTATCGATTGTGGCACGCCGTTTTTCAGGCGTCCGATACTTCACTACACTCATCTATTGCAAGTCCTGGCTTATGACACAACCTGTAGATACAAAACTGTGAATGGTCAGACAACAGTCTTAACTGATAACAACTCGGGCTCACATCCTTGATTTTGAGTAAGCGGTGATTGTCCTGTCTTTTGCAGTCAGTTGGGTCTGTGTGAACAGACATCTACCAAGCCCAGTATTCCGGCTGACAGTTGTTCTATTCCTGTGCACCCGGTCCAATGTTTTGCCGGCTGTAGCTGTGTTGCACCTCGAAACTACCTACCCGAAATCGAATCTAGTTCGTTTGCAGAAATATTCGCTAATTAATGGTGTCCACGCGTATAACACAGAGTTTCCTATAGGGTCACGACAATACTCAACGCCAATGACTTTAACCAGACGACATCACTTAAATGCATATATATATATATATATATACTATTTACATATTTTAATCATTAGAGAAAGTCTTGCTAACGATGTGTCAAGCTCTACTGCGTGAAAATCACTTGCGATATGCATATCTCAGAAATAAGTGGCATGCCTCGGCTTACCGTGTCGTATTTGGCCCTTCCAAAGATTGATGAACTGTCGTTTTGATTGATGGTTCAACCAAGTTGCCCTCTTTTTCAAATACGGCCAATACTAATTACTCGTACTATGTGTTTCCTGGCCTACTGATCCCCCGATTTCCAAACGTACTCTATCTCAAGTTGTCTCCTCAGCTTTTCGGACTATCGATAGCTTTCACTTCACAAGTTGCTCATGTCATTTTGACAGAGATCCAAGCGAATCAGCGAAAACCTGATTTTCATGCCAAAATTTGAGCGCCTTTTATATTAGCGTCTTATTTTCTCCAAGTGTCCAATAAAGCAGATTTCAGTCACGTGATCTGCGTGTCTTACAAAAGTGTCGGGACTTTCTTAGAGAGGATGATACAAATGAAATCAGCACAGTCACCAGACCTATATCATTATTGTTGTGTACCACAGTCTCCTTAATACCTTCATATTACCGTGAACCCTGGACTGGATATCTGTCTGATCGCCTGGTTCGCTTGACCAAACCAGAAAAAATCAATGAACGCCCGAACCGGCTGATCTATCGATCACTGTCGCGTACAAGCGGGTCAAGAATACAACTGATCAAGGGCGAGTGAAGAACAACCAATGAAATCTATCTCAATGGAAACGGTTATTCTACTGGCTGTTATATGGCCCCGTTACGTTCGGAGTTGGTTCTCCTAATAATTATCACCTGTCTGTTAGTATCCTTTTTTTTGTACTGCAGCCCGAACTGATACAGCTCAGAGCAGGATTTCGACGGATGGTGATGTTGGCCTGAGCCTATGAACTTTACTGAAACGAGTCAGATAACGGAGGGGGTCACTTTGCTCACCTGGGAGCTTGTCAGGTACTTTAGAAGGAGATCTAAAGGCAATGCACCAATTAAAACAAGGGTTCCTGATCGGAACTTCTGTGTTTCGATTTAATTCCTGCGTTTTCAGGTGCTTTTGTTCAGGTTTAAGCTTGGGCTCGTTTTAGGTCTCACGACGCCCATGTCACGGTTGCATGGGCTACCGGTTGACCTCAAAATTGGGCACTATTCAGGTGCTCTCCAGAACCGCAAAGGATATGTAACCTGCCGTGCGCTACAGCTTTTGTAGTTCCCTACCCAGAGAAGTGTAAAGTCCTCTCAACTTGTTTTTCGAACTCAGTGATCTTCACTGAGCGAAGATAATTCCCCTCCAAAAGTTGCCTTGTAATACTCTGGTGACCCTTGAGGGGAGCGACTGCAGCCTTGTATGTCCTAGCGTAACGGCAGTACTGCTGATGCACAGTTCAAAAATCGATCTCCACAAATGGTTGGTGCTTGACCTTGAGGTTATTCAGCCAATCGAATACGTGTGATTATTGTTGTCAACGCCTAGAACGACGTCCAGAAAAACCCAGCTTCTTAACCCACTTACTTCTTCGATGACCCTAGCGTACGATTCCTGTTGGACTATTTAGGTATATGAATGATTCCAGTTCTCAAAGAACTTCAGTAGGTACTTCATTCTAACCGAGCCTAACGAGGTGCGTATGTGTTGGATGGGCTAGGCGATTCATTGGCTAACAGTCATCCCCGTCTACCTAGGAACAAGGCTCACCAATTATGCTTTTGCAATCAGATTGTATGGTTTGAAAGTACAGCTTCGTAGTCTAACAGTATTCGAGTCGGCTACCGGTGTAACGGCGATACTACTGATGGGAGGGCATGCGAGTTGTAGGTTCTCTTGTAAATCCACTTTGCGTCTCTCGAGAAGTGAGATATATTTCGAAATTTGTGCAGTCGCTTTGTAGCATTTGCTTGGATTTGAGCGACAGTCAGTGAACATCCAGGAAAGTTCAGGAAGACGCGTTCAAAGAGAGGATGGATATTCAGTTTTGTTTAAACAAGATGCATATGAGAGTTTTGCTTGTAACTGTTCACTCCCTGTAACTGTTCACTTGGCATTTTCTAACGGATAACTCCCCAGCAAAGGCCTTCTTCCTTTCACCGGTAGCAACTTTCACCCTAAATGGTCACTGTTCTTCACGGATTACGCGCGCTGTTCACCAAGACTGAAACGTCCAGTCGAATCGCGACCCGATGTCATGACAATTACGAGATTGTTCTTGAAGACCACTGCTCAGGTAGGATGGGAATTTGACTGACATGAATACTGGACTACATGTAGACAGTCAGGCCGTGCAAACTGGTAGATAAGTAATAAGGACGAAGCGCGTCCTTCAGCGTCTTGACTAGATGGTCTCTAGCAGTTCCTGATAACTCGATCAATTCTGTCAATTTTTGTAAGCCTTCGTACTTCCTACAGCTTGCACGACATGAAAACATGGTTAAATAAGCGAATATACGCTCATTTGCAAACTAATTTGGTTTTTCGAGGGACTCACCTGGAACCCAGCTGATTCTCTCGTTTGTGATGTCCTCAGGCAACTGAAGATCCAATCCTAAAGGTTGCCGAAAACTCTTCAACAGCCCACAACCAGTTTCGCCGCTCCTGGGGCTCATCAGGTGAACTCAGTCTCCGAGTTTCCTTATGTTCTACTTGAACCCTAATTGGACTGGTTCCGACAAATGCACTCATTTGTAAATGAATCCCATAAATATTATGCACTCAACCGGGTCATGTGAGCGCAGATAGATCGGACACGTGACAGTTTCAAACTGCTGCCCTCCAGACCATGCGAAGTCGAGAACCTCAAGAACCCCCCGACTTCTCCCAATATATCTCGATAAAACAGACCAGGAGAAAGAATCAGCGTGTATGAAGGCACCATGAATAGATGGGGGCGGGGCAAAACCCAGCAGGATGAACAAGATTGAAAGGAACAAATAACACTTGAGCAGTATAAAAAACAGCACCTACCTACATTGGGTAGCATATTGCAAAGTCATGTGACACAGCCGGAAGGTTGACTTCTCCGTAGCGAAGCTCCCTTAGATTCTTGGACAGATGCAGAGCAAGGTCGGCAAGGGGGAGCTCGATGACCATTTCGGTGGAAAGTCTGTCAACTAAAGAGAACGACATGTGGAGGGTGGGATTGGAATGTACAGAGATTAACCGCTAATTACACCGTATTCATTCGGCTAAATGGAGACGTTCCATGTAGGATGCTGGGGACTTCCTCCTGTTTTCTTTCAGCGGAGAATGTATGGACACAGCTGAGGGTGACTGCTGAGCTTTCGTTGTAGAACACGATGACCCACGGGATGTTGGAGTTTTCGGGTGGAAAGGCATCGAGTATAGTTGCGCATATCGACAGAGTACAGGACTGTTATCAAAGGACTCACGCACGCCATACATATCTGCAAGACTCTGATAATTAGAAACACCCTTTTGCTGGACACCGGCCTTGCGTGCAGATGAAGCATGACCGGTTGCTCCCAGATGATCTTTGACGCACATCGAAGTGGGAATTTGTGAGGTAGTCCTCATAGGAGGTCTGGGAGGAGGAGAACGGGGACCTTCGGAACGGATATCCTCAAACTGTTGACCCTTTGTACCACTTAGCACACCACTCACAGCTCGTTGTGAGTGGTCCTGAGGTGAAGATTGTGAATAGGTCCAAACATCGTTCGGTAAGGTTTCCGACTTTTTAAGTCTTTCGGATAAATTTGGAGGGACAGTGGATACACGATAGGGCAACAGCTGTGTCCAAACAGCCGGGGGTGAGAGACGCCCCACAGCAGAACGTCCATTCGGCTGGGAGCCATGGTGATCCGGTACGGGACATTTGGCAGCATTTACATAGACATCATGTCTTCGTTCGGAACGAACTTGTTGACTAATTCGTAACGTGGGTTTAGTCCCATCCATATCATGAATGACCCAACTGGGCTTCGTCCGTCGTGGAGTCGGAGGTATTTTCAGATCATATGATGTACTGATTGGCGGCAAAGGTGGAGGGACAATCTGTGATCTGCTGCGTAAGGTGCGAATGGTAGATGCGCTGCTGGGAGGTTCCATTTCGGTGGATCCAGGGTGAAGCTGGTCCATAGTTAGTGCCATTCCATTTCTTGTGTTTGGCTCGGCACTGTGGATAGAGGTACACACAAAGGACATTGTTAGATGAAGATAGTTTGTTTTATCGAAGTGTAAGTGATGAGGTCAAACAGCCAGTAGTACATCCTCAGAAGCAATCAAGTGGCTTCAGTAAACTAGTGAATTACCCTCGTATTTTGACCGCCTCATTCGGCGGTTGCAGCTCTGAACGAGTATCAGTGTGCTCGTTAACGAGACTCAGCCTGTGTTCCCTAAAGGGTAATCTACGATGTAGTCTGACGGGCGAGGAGTGGTCGCGGGCGTCAACATCTATGCTAAAGTGGTCGTGCGCACGTGGCTTCTTTCCGATTGGTCAAGCCAAGTGAGACAGACACGCGCATGGATGAATGTGCACCAACCTGGTTGGACAAAGAGCCTGGTGGCACCGTGACATTTATGCGTAGTCTATTTGACGGGGAGGGGGGTGGGGGTTGAACTACTGCCAGTCAACCTACTATCAGACAGCCGTTTTGGCTGTCGCGTACTTCAACAAAGACACCGCGGAATTAAGTGCTCATTCTCGCTTACTTGTATCAAGACTTCCTATAAAGAGCAATTTGGTTTCATCGTCCTTTGGACGAGAGTGGAATACACGTATGTGTGAAGTTGTTTTCCCTCAATCAAACCAAAACAAGGGGAGCTGGAAGCAGTTCTCACAGTCCATTTAACACGAGCGGCGGAACATGTTTTGTCTGAGCAGACAAACTCGACAAGCCAATGGTGGACCGTCCCCAAGGACACCTACTGACTGCCGTTTAGTTTCGGCATCTACCGAGCTAAATGAACAACAATCTCGGTGACAGAAATCTGAGTCCCTACCAGCATTACAAACCGGCATGAACATATATGCCAAAGTACAATACTTTCGAGACAAAGAAGTGTCTATAGAGATTGTTGTTTGGACAACTGTCGATCGATCCTTAGAAGGTAATTTAGAACGTTTGGCCGACAAAGCGACTGTGTATCGACGTCTCAGACTGCCACTCGTGAGGTTGGCATCGTCAGACTCACAAAACTACATGAGATGGAAATTTTATTGAAATGATTGGATTACTTTAGAGCTTTTGTCTTTTGAGGTTATCCAGCAAGGGCAGTGTGAGCTTATACTAAAGAGGGACATGCATCTCATCATCACTGTCAGCTACAAGAACAGCGGACTTATCGTACAGTGGTTGTAGCTACCACCGTTTCGTTCACCGATGATTTAAAGAGGTGGGGTAGATAGTTGAGCATTGGAGGCGCGAGCTGATTAATTGGTGCATAAATGCGGTACCGCCAGTGGACTTTTAAGTGGTGCGGGGTTCGGGAAGGAAGCTATGCAGTAAAGGCAATAGCTTGGATACATGAACGCCATTGAGGGCGCGACTGGGCCATGTCTGACAATGTCTCCAACCATGGATGTGGCCCGTCTCGGGGTCCCCATCCAAGAGGACGGCATTGACCAGCGCAGCTGAGTGTGCTAGTAATGGCTTTTATATTTCGTTCCCATCTCATCACCCACATCCCGATACCTTAAGATTTGTGAACCAGAGGAGATTTTGGTGCTCTTCAATTCATTTAACACATTCAGCTCACACCAACGTTTTGAAGGATACATTTCACTGTACACCGCGATGAATACCCTCATAAGGTAAGCAGAATTTAACGAACAACACTTATCGCCAAACTGACCTCAATCTATACATGAATCACTTGCCGAGAATCAGCTATATTAAAACCTACAGCACAGAACTTTGTCTCCATCAGAGAAGCCATTCGTCCCGATGTTTCTCATCAGGTCCTACTTGGAACAACTCTCCGATTATCCAGAGTCACTATTTTACGCATTCATTACATTTCTTGAAGATCTAGTTAAGGTCTTGTCGAAGGAAGAAAGCATGAATACAATCGTCCTGCTCCAAATAGACCACTCGCGAAGGTAAAGCAGTTCACTGTTTTCGTGAAGACCTTTCTAGGTTTAGTGATAATGAGGAGGGACGAAAATCAGCAGTGAGCAGTGTCAAAGAGTTTCTCATTCAAGATCTTTCGTGAAGGATAGTGAAAACTCCTCAGCTCCGTTTGTTTTAATTTTTCAGTCGGTGTTTACCAACCACTGCTCATACCGCGTACAAGGAAAGGTTCATTGGTATAGGCGACCAAATACTGCTGACGGAATTTTATCAGAAATTGTATAATGTTGTGAGATTCAAAGGGCACCTCGAAAGGGAAAATAAAATCTGCTGACATCTGATTGCAATTATGTCTGGAAAAGATTCTAGCTTGAACTCGGACCCAGTTGGGTTAGTATTTCATGAATTGCCTGAGTCCACTGTAAACCCAGCCAACCATAAAGTCAACAAACGCAGCACTTGCTGATATTGTTAACTGCAGGACATCCCCTGGAAATTCAAATCACATGCTGAATGATATTTGCCTGTGCGGTATCGATCAGTTTCAGGGCTGAATGTGATTGGTCTTCTCCTAGGCTTGCATCAGATTCAGACGAAACGGAGGCACAGTATGCGGATCGGTTCTGCCTAACCTAAGCACTTCCTAATAACGACTTAATAAGCCTCAGCGCTCAGCAGCCGAAAGCTCTCCAGAGCAATCAGATATATGTTGCACAGGAAGCGCGGAACCAGAAGCAGGTGGAAACGAACTTTTTCATGTGATGGAAATCAGCAGGGATCTCGGGACTTGTGGGTGACAGATACAAAAGTTGGTTCAAAACACAACACTTCTAGAGCATGGAACAACGGAAGGACGAGTCATGAATGCATCATCTGAAGCATAGGACGGAAGAATAAGTGATTTAAAAAATGTTTGGTTTGGAGGGCCGTAGTAAAATGACCTACTGCTGGTCTGGATTTCAGTCGTCTAGCCTGTGATTGATTTTGTTGTTACTATTCCCGATGGAAAATCAAGCCAGCGATTCTGAAAAGGCAGCATTCTGTTGCGTCATGCAGCAGGACATCATCATCACCGACAGCATGAAGTCAGTGTTCAACACCGATGCTTTACTGCCGTACAACCATGATTTATTTGAAAGCCTTATTGTAAAGAAAAGAGTAAAGGTGCACGGGGAATGGACTTAGTGCTAGCTTACCACAATCATTCCGAGGTGCCTACACCTCCAGGCATTCACTCAGGCAATCTGGATATAAACTGACAACAAGAATGCCACTGACATCGGTTGGCAGCCATATATTGCAGCGTTTCCAACCAGCTGCAGTGGGGATTACGTGGTTCCTAACCTGGAAGGCTAGTAGCACCGGCCAGGACCAACAGATTCGATGTGATGTGATTAAAAGACGGGTTTAAGTGAAGCATGCCTTACTTCACTGGACGAATGCATCTAGCTCTACAAGCTAAAGTGACCGGGCCATGTATTATGCATGCCAAGCCTACCGAGATGAGCACAGTTTTTCGTGCCTAATTCGGAGTGTTAGAAAGCTAGTTATTGACAGGATTTGACATGGCAGAAGGGAATGAGGGATGGTCCTCCTTCCAGGATTGGGTCCCTGTGCTTGGCTGGAGATTTTGGACAATATCATGGCTAACCGATGTCAGTGGCTTTCATGCTATCAGTTTCTATCCGGATTGTCTGATTGGGTGCTGCAGGTATAGGCACCTCAGATGTTTCTGGTAGACTTGCCCTAAGTCTCCTC